CTGCCAGGCCAGTTGCCTCCCTTGGAGCCCAGCCCAGCTCCTCTTCCGGTTGGAGGGCGCTAAACTTGTTCTTCAAGGGTAAGTCTTGAGGAGGAGCAAGAGCCTTTCTCCTTCTACGAGAGGTCACCAGCTTCCAGCCCTCTTCCACAGCGTTATGATGCACCTTTACACACGGTGCTGAGCCCTCTGACAACTCTGCTGCAGTGCGGGGGTGGGGACTCCTGGAGCTGAACAGTCTCCGAGAACGCCCTGTCAATCTCCCGCTCATCCTCTCGGATGCTACGCAGCCTACTAACCTCCTCCCGTAACTCCTTTATCTGGTGACGCAACTGGTCAACCACAGCACACCTCACACAGGAGAGCTGACTGTCAGCCCAGGCCCCACAGAGAGGCCCCAGGCACTCCCTGCAGCCTGACACCTGCAGAGCTGCATCTGCTGTCTGAGGGTCTGTCTGGGTTGAAGCCTCAGACATAGCCGATGCAGCACCTCCAGCAGCCACTGGGGAATGTGCTCTGCGGCGTGTCATCACCATGCCCCGGGGAAGGACACACCACTGTGCAAAATGGAGAGGTGCCTTCTTTGCCTTCTGGCACCCTACTGCGCAAACTGCTGCGTCTGTTCGCTGCCTCTGTTGGCTGCGCTCCAAGCACAGCCAACATTGTCCAGCTACAACAAACGTAGCTGAGATTCTGAGTTAGTGGAGTTAAGGAGGGGCTTCCACTGCAAGTAACTGGGCTGTGCTTTGGGCCTTGAATGTTTTTTGTTTTTCTTCCTGTTTGTTTGTTATCCTAGCCTTGGTTGCATTACTGTGAAACTAGGTCCGACCCTACCAAGAAAACAGGACAAAATTCTGATTGTCATCAATCCATACAGACATACACTTGAAGATGACAGTACATTTTTTTTCTTCCTTTTTTTTAATAACAACTTGTAATATCAACAGGAGTTAATTTAATAATAATTATACAACTAATTTCTCTAATAATCCACTATTCTTATGTCTTTACTTTAGAGGCCTGGTTTCTATTTCTGACAACCTCGAGGTGGTTTGCTGTGCGTCTGGATGCCATCTGTGCCATTTTTGTTATAGTGGTTGCCTTTGGTTCCCTGCTTCTCGCCAAGAGTAAGTACAGATGTTAAGAAAAGTTCACTCAGTAGTTACCATGTATAGTAATGTGTAATTCTTTTTCGTAGTTTACTGTTTCTTAATTGTTTAAGGACTATAATTAAGTTAAATATTTCTTTCTAGATCACGATCTCTTCCCCAGTCTAGGGCATTGGAGCTGAATGTCCTTCCCTGCAAATACTGAAGGTGGTTTAGACATTTTCGGGGGTTAGGCATGCATCTACCATCTTCCCCAGATGTGCAAACAAACTTGCAGATCTGTAGTCATCGCTTTCAGGATTCTGGCTTTCTGACTGATAACAGCAAATAAATCTTTTTTGTTTTCCTCACCTTTGCCTTTACTTTGCATACCTACAGGGCTTTGCTTTTTGTACTGAAACACCCACAGAGCTGCTGCTTAGCGCTTTTTCTCTTTCTACACATGGCACAATAGGTCAAAAGGCAAACTAAAATTCTGAGGCATATTATTCTAATATCTTGGGTCAGCAGAATAGGCCAATTCCAGAAAGAAAATCACCTTGTAATAATACATTTTATATTCACTGTCACTCGTGCACTGTCATTAGTGTATGCATCATCCAGGAGGTAATTGGGTTAGATATACTAAAACAAGACACTCGTCTGAAATATGAAGGAAGAAGTAATTATCTTGGACATGAAAATTAGTGCTAATTTGCTATTTTTGTTTCTTTTTTTTTCTTTGGATAAGTTTTGTGTGTGTGCATGTGTATTTTAAAATATGTATGCTGATCAAACCTAGCTCAAAATTTTCAGTGTTAAAGTTATTAGAATGCAAAAAGACAAGTCAGAACAATGGTCCTGAATCTTTCCTTGCCTCTGGATAAGGAGTAGCACTCTTGAAGTCAATAGGGCTGTGCTGGGATAAAGTTTAAGTCAGTCATGCTTAGTATTAGGGCAGACAGAATTCGTTTGTTTCACGAGAGTTGAACCGCTGAACGTAGTAAGCATTTATGTAAATAAGGGAAGAAATATTTTGTCCTGTTATTTTATGTGGTCATTTACAGCTGAACAGAGTTGATGTAAATGTTCATAACTTATATGCTCATTTTTACATGGATCTGGGGGCTGTTCTAGTTCCCTTAGAAAATACCTGAAGCTATTAATGCTTAGCCAAATAGGGATGACCCTAGCAAGCTACGTAAGTATGGTCTTGAGTCTGAACTTCAGGTCTTAGATAAGTGCCAGATCAAGGAGAATCAGGATTGTCTTTTCAAATACCCAAATAATTTTGGCAACAAGTAACTGTTGTGCCCGGAGCTACTGGTTACCCAGATGTTAAGTACTATGTAATCAATAAAAATTCTGGCGGTGATGCTTCCATTATGTATTTGTGTGAAGGTGAGGTTAACTAGAATTTTGTGTAGTTACCAGTGTCTCTGTTTGATTTTCTTTTATTCTGCAGCTTTGAATGCAGGGCAGGTTGGTTTGGCGCTATCCTATGCAATCACTCTCATGGGAATGTTCCAGTGGGGTGTTAGACAAAGTGCTGAAGTTGAAAACCTGGTAACATTTATTCCTTCTTGATTCCTTTTTGCTGTTTTGACATGAGGCCTTCAGGATGGGTTTCTTTTTGCCTGTCTTAGGACATCAATACTTTCACAAGCAATTGAAGCACCATTTATAGTCAGTGGAGAAAAACAGTCTTTTCTGGTGTGTAATTTGTCTGGCTGATTTTGAGGGTGTAGTGAGATGAATTCTGCCCAAAGACTGTCCTTCTCCATTGATAATAAGGGAGTCTTTATAATTATTTTTTGCAGCAGTAAGGAGGCTATCTATTCCGATGTTGATGTGTACATTGAAAGTTACTAAAATTATATGAAATTAATCCCTCTCTAGAAGTAGGACTTTTTTAAAGATTTCTGAAAATTTGGGATTTTTCCATTTTTAATTTAATATTCTTATTTTATTTGTATTTATTGTATTTATATGCCTTGTGGGATTTTTTTTAGGATCCTGTTAATTCATTGTAAAGGTTATATCTTCTTCATTTGTTTGAAATTACCAGATATTTGAAAATATTAAGTTTATATTCAGCTGAGCTGATGATGTGTGTCTTCCAAAATATATAAAGTAAAACACCTTCTAGCTATCTCCAATATTTACTAGCACGTTGTAGTTTGCCTATTAACATTTGTAGGCTAACATATAAGAAAAAATACTGCAAAATATACTGCACCAGAAAGAGCATACTGCATCATAAACCTGTTTTTGTGTGTATTGTGTTGATAATTGAAGTTTCCTTGTAATTATAATTTGCTGACTGTTGTCTAGGAAATATATTGAGTACTTTTCTAAAAGTAACAAAGCCATGTTTAATAAAGATAAAATTAATTCTGTTAGATTTATATTTGTATTGTCTAGCACAGAGCACAGAGCTTCTTCAGGGCATTTTCCAGACATGAATAAACGAATGGTGCCAGACTTCAGTGAGAAACGGGAAAAAAGTTGGTCTTTTTTGTTCAAGTTAAGAAGTTTTGGAAATGCAAATCTGTGGGACTCTCCAGTGTAGTGAATTACTCTATGAGAGGCTGGGTTTCAGAAATACTTCGGAGGAAGACTTACTCTTTACAAAGCTGTCTTTGGTGAACAGGGATCGTTTTATAGAGCTGTGATTAGTGTTAACTTTCTCCTTGTCAAGTTGACATTCCTCCAAAAATCCGTTGTTACTAAAGCCCTACTAAATTGAGGAAGGCAAGAATATTTTCCATCTATTCAGCTCTGCTACTCTTTTCTTACGTGTTTTTCCTTGGAGCTTATTTTGTAGTGTGGAAAGGGTACGTGGCAATGAGGTCGGAGAACCTGGTACCTGGTAACGCCCGTCCTCAAAGCCACTCCAGGCAAGATAAGCCTACTGGGTATCTTTATGGTGGTCTTTTCAGAATCCATCCATGACTGGATGTAGTTTGGTAAAATGAAATAACCTATACGTTCCACATTTTTATAAAACTGAAATTGTATTGAGTAGTTGTATGGATGAGGATATGCACTAGAGCTTAAATAGAGCTTTTATTATTTGTCTGAGGAAAAAATGTCTAGCTGGCTCAGCTTTTGCTTCTCTTCCCAGTTGGTGTCCCATAGACTATAGTCATAAGCAAATATTGCAGTTTCTTTCATATCTGGCATCACGTACATAGGAGAACAAGTTCTATTGGATACTCAGGCAAGAATATGGTGACAGCTATTTTCAATTCTGGATTGCTTGTGACAAATATTTTTAGTGTATTTGCTGGGGATGAATGCAGTAGTAACGAAAATGACAAAAAAATGAATGGTTATGCTAGGAACTTGATGTTAGTAACTGCTGTGGGTCTGCCTGTAGTTTTTGTCTGGCAGTTTCATTTCTAGCTGTTTTCCAAACACATAGTGGAATGTGGGGTCGTTTTAGGACTGATAGGCGCAACTATCACAGCTTGAATTCCTTAATACTTATGCATATGCTTAAACCTGTAATTAATTCCACTGGTTAAAGATTATTGCTAGCATATGGATTTATGTATCATGGTAGGCTGGGATCTATATTAGAACGTGTAATCAATTCTTTCCATTTCTTTAGTTGTGTTAAGTAAGTATAAATACTGAGATTAATGTCTCATCTGTGCTTGAAAGAAAAACTCTAGAGTAATTTGCATTGAATCTTTATAGTCAAAATCCAATATATATACACACACACATATGTGCATACACATACATATATGTATAGATATTAATATATATGAAATATATATTAATATGTAATAAGCTGAAATTCACGTGTACGTGTTGTCTTTCCTCCCCTAGATGATATCAGTAGAAAGAGTGATGGAATACACAGAGCTTGAAAAAGAAGCTCCTTGGGAGACTGACAAGCATCCACCACCTGATTGGCCAAGCCAAGGAATGATAGCATTTGAAAATGTTAACTTTACTTACAGTTTAGATGGACCTTTGGTGTTAAGACATTTGTCTGTTTTAATTAAACCAAAAGAAAAGGTATGTATATGTCTGTGTTTGGTCATTCACAGTAATTAGGCAAAGACAGTACGTTGAAAAGAAGCAATGTGATAACAATACATTATAAAAGATATGGATGTTAGGAAACAAGATAAACATTATTTAAAAAATAAATCTTAGTCATATTTAATAACAAAAGTTAGAGCCTATTTATTTCCTGTAAATTTAGCAGAAATATGTTTGAGAACATGACGCTTGCAGTTAGGACAAATGATCTGTTTATGTATCCCTGAAAACAGAGGGTTAAACATATTTGATAGTTTTCTGACAAAACTTGGGTTTCATCAGGAAGTGACAGTTATTCAGAATACCACCTAAGCCCAAGATGTTTGTTTGAAATTCAAAGTAAATGGAGCTGCCCTAGGAAATAGAGGATTCAATAAATGAAACGCAAATGGGATGAAGGGTGTCAACACACAAAGTGAACAGAGACAATTAAAAATAAAGAATGTACGTCCTGTTGCACAGAGGCCAGAATGGAGGAGAGAAGAAAGAAATACAAATCAATTGCATAACTTTAGAATTGAGGATTTTATTTCAGTTCCTTTGGGCTACCAATCCAATTAACTGTTGCCACTAATTAGATTGGTAGCCAAAAGAAACATAGAAATAAAACTCTTTCTCCTCTGCAAATTTGACTCCTTTTCCCCAATTTTGACAGTATCCCAATTGAAAGAGTGCTGTGGGGAAGGTCTCCCCCGCAGACAAAATTAAATGGGAGCTCTGCAGTGTTAATTCGTGCTTTGCTACGTTTCAAACGCACATGTACTTTTTTGATTAGAATATCTCCCCTAGGAGAGTGGTTTAACTCTCTACAGTCATTGTCCTTGCCTCAGTTGTAACATGCTTTTCCATTCATTCCCAACGCTGTTTCATTCCCCAAGTGGGCCTTATTAATAGCATGCATGCTACAAGAATTTAGCCCAACTTTGCTGCATGGAGATGATCTCATGGAATTAGGTATGTGTAAGTTGAGAACGGGGTGTTGAAGAAGAATAGCAAAAGGGATGTTTGTCTTGTCTCTACTTTTCTTGCCTATGGGCCAGCTCTTTAGCTGTTGTATGTCACTCCTATATAATAGCAGACAAGAAGATTTACATGTCTTAGTGAGAGACAGAAATAAAATAATAATAAAGAAAAGGAAGCAGGAAATATTAACAGTGTATTGCTCAGTACTTGGTGGGGGGGGACCAGTATTGGAGGTGTTTATTTTTGCTGAGTGGTTGTGCTGTGGTTTTGTCATCCTGAAGTGAATTTGCCCAGCTTGAAACTATTGCCAGCAATTTTATATTTGTTTTCTGTCGTGTTTTGCACGATACTACAGTAGACTGCCACTGTGTAAAATAAATCTCCCAAGCATCTGTGCCCCTTATATTCTTTTTAATTATGGCAAAGCATCTCTTCAGAACCAGATTGCCAGCTACGCTGGAGGATTCTGCCCATAAGGCTGTCAGAGAGAGCTTTTATGCCTGTTCATACCCCCTGGCTAGTGCATGCTCCTCCTGGCTGCAGTGCCACTGACAGATCGAATAAAGTTAAATTCCTGCT